TAGAATTGTTTTATTCAATCTTTATTTATCTTTGTTTCTTTTGTAATTTGAGAAACTAAATTGTTTAAAAATAATAAAAACTTAATAAAATAATTAAACATTTTAACATTTAATTAAAAATTAAGAAAATGTCATTTATCATTTTTTAATTATTTAATGTTAATTTAATATTAATTAATGAGGAGTGATTTGGCCCTCCAATTACACCGCGCAACATGGTAAGTCCAAACTACTTTATGACACCTCGACACTACATGTGGCTAGACCTCATCGGACTAGACTAGCCTAAGTCGCCCTCTACGAATTGGGCCTCAACCAATAGGAGACCAGTAAACCGTTCGATGATGGAACGAAGTACATCACCTCGAAGGCATAAGTCGATGAGTACTCTGGCAACCGATTTGTCTCCCCTGACCCTAGCAACTGACGACTTACATGGCTAGAAAACCTCTAGGGTACCGACCAACGTGGCAGGTCCAACCTCATCCATTCACCTCACTTATTGGTTCCGAAGCACATGACAACATGTCACTCACCTGGCAATGATGAGCCCGGTTCTGTCCGCTTCGCGATGAATTGGATGAGGGTCATTGCAACACCGCTACAACATGCCCCAAAGATAGCGAGTCAATAAGCCTTATCGTTCCCAAATATCTTGGACATGCCACTCGAACCCCAACACCTATATAAAGGCATTGCCACAACTTCACAAGGTACAGACAAAATCATGCACATAAGCTCTCTCTCTCTCTCTTCTATCTCTCTTTGCTTTCTCTCAGCTTGACTAACTTAAGCGTCGGAGTGCCTAACTAGCTCAAGTCCAAACCCCCGAATACTCTGACTCTCCTTGTCTTGCATACTCGGTCTGTCGACCTCAACACACTCACATCCAAGCTATTTTACAGCGAAGAATCAGAGCGGGATCATTAATCATTTAATAAAGTGCTTAATAAGTTTATTGATTTATTAACCATTTAATTATTTATCATTTATGAAATAATATTTAATTGTCTTATTATTAATTAAGCATTCATTTAATCATTTTATTTATTTTTTTTAATAACTATCTTATTTCTTAAGGGTTAACTTTTAATTAAATATTTTAATATTAGCTTTATTAATTATAAATAAGAACTATTCAAAGTACATTATTCATTACTTTTCTGCTTTCCTAGTGATTGATGGCAATGCTACCAAGCAATCCCTGTTGTGTTTGGTTTAAAAGAAAAGGCTAGGAAACCTACCTTACATGTCAATTTGGTTATTACCAAACAATCTCACACTTACATGTCGGTGATAATTAGAAAACGAGTATCCTTAACAAGAAAACCAATTTCAATCTCCATTAGCTAGCTTTCCAGAGTAGAGAACTAGAGGGTATACGGAAGAAGAATGATGTCATATATTAAGTTAGTAACGTGGGGAACTTAGGCCATGTCTGGTTCAACTCTCATTCTTTCTCATTCTTGCCCAAGACGAAATTCTAAAATGAACAAGAATGTGTAAAAATGGCTAAAATGAGAAAATATTGCTATGAACCAAACACTTTTTTCCTGAAAAATGAATTCTTTTCAAACTAACAAATGCCTTAGGTTGCTCCTTTTCATTCTTAAGAAAAAAAATTGGGTTAGCAGTCATAAACCATCGACCTAGGTCTCCAAAATCATCAACATAGATGTTTACTGGTAGGGCTGTCAATTGGACTAGATTTGGTCCAATCGAGTCCAATCCAATATTGGTCCATTTACAAGTCCAATCTAATCCAACTAAAAAGCAAATGGACCAGATTGAGTCCAATCCAATCCAAATTGAATCAAACACCAAAATAACATGAAAAATCCAAAAAATATATAAATAAACTACAAACACCTACTGCAATCCAATCCAGTCCAATTAAAATGCAAATGGACTAGATTGGATCCAATTCAATCCAAAGTGAATGAATAAAAACACTTTTGTAAAAGTACTTCGGTAAGAGTGCTTTTGTAAAAGTATTTTTATAGTAAAAGTACTTTTGTAAAAGTGCTTTCATAAAAGTACTTTTGTACAAGTACTTTCATAAAAGTACTTTGATAAAAATACTTTCATAAAAATTCTTTTGTAAATGTGCTTCTATAAAAGCACTTTTATAAAAAAGCTTTTGTAAAAGTGCTTTCGTAAAAGTACTTTTATAAAAGTGCTTTCGTAAAAAGTACTTTTATAAAAGTACTTTGTATAAGTGCTTTCATAAAAGTACTTTTGTAAAAGTGATTTTGTGAAAGTACTTTCGTATAAGTGGTTTTGTAAAAGTGATTTCGTAAAGTACTTTTGTAAACCGTTTTCGTATAAAAATGCTTTTGCAAAACTACTTTTCATAAAATTACTTTTATAAAAGTACTTCTATAAAAGTGCTCTTACAAAAGTACTTTGCTTTCGTAAAAGTAATTTTTATAAAAGCACTTTCATAAAAGTGCTTTCGAGAAAATGTTTCATAAAAGTGTTTTTATGCTAGTGGTTTTTAACCACTGGCATAGAGTTTCTTTAAAGAATGAAAATGGGCAATATGGGGCATGATTATTTTTCATGCTGCAGGCTACCCCAATTTTTGTGCTATGGGCTGATTTTTCATTCTGAAAAGAATGAGGCCCATGACAAGAATTTTGTAACCAAATGCTCTAATGTTATTCATTCTTGCTCATTCTAGGTAAGAATGAACAAGAATTAAAAAAAGGGGCCCTGAGCAGCAAACCAAACATGACCCTAATTTCTTCTATCTTTTCTCTCTCCTGGATTCAGATGATGATCTTTTCTTCATCTTTTCTCTCTCCTGTATCCAGTTGGGATTTGGGAAACAAATTGGAAGCAGGTGAATTAAAAATGGGGAGAGGGTCACCTCACCTCATGATTTTCCTGTACTTTTTTTAAGAAAATCATTACCATCTTGATTTGAGCCCACCATTCATTCTCTCCTTGAATTTCATTCATTCCATGATCATTGGAAGGAGTGTTGGTACATTAATTGTAAACTCCAAGGCGGCGATCGAAAAGAATAGTCTATTTGGATTGGATGGTCCATTCCATTATATTGTTCGTTCATTAGATATTTCAATGGCCTCTCACACAAAAGAGAAAAGAGGTGGAATTATTAATTATCATGCCTCTCTGCTCTATCTGTTCGATCTATGGTCTCCAAAGCGAAGCTAGCTGCAAAAAGGATGGATGGAAAGCTTTAATTTACCTTTGCCATGCGATCGAATTAAATTCTATTTAAGGCTAAATTTGATAAAGATGCCGGTCCCAGTCCCAGAACAAAAGAGAAGAAGAGATGTATATTCAATTCAATTGCACTACGGATGCCTCCTCAGTTATTGCTGATCTTCTCCATCACCACAGTCATCGTCATTACCGTCTTGGCACTCTCGATGACCGACTACAAGTAGATGCGTAGTCGAATAGACCAAGTACCTCTCCTCCTCCTCCTCCATTATTATCGTTGTTTCTTTTTTGTTGAATTGATGGGAGAGCTGTTCCTTGTATTTATCTCTGTGAATTCCAGATCCATCAAATCATGAGACCCACAGGTATGGAATTCCAAAGGATATCATCATCTCTTTCAGTTGCCGCTACCACTTCTTTCCTACAACCACAAAGATCCGTCCTTTTCCATCGTCCCTTTTCTTTATAATTAAGGACGGCAAGCTCATTCGTTCTGTATTGGCTAATAATAATTTTTTCAAATTTAATATTCGCTCCCTTGCTGTGCATGCAATTTGCAGCTTACTCCTGAGCTGGAGCTAGCTTGAACGAAATCAATATATATTTTCCTCCGTCCATGCATGCATCCAATTGAATCCGATCGATCGCCCATAGCTCTACTCCCTCAATTTTAATCTGTTCGATGGAAGGAGCAGCCAATCGTATTATCCATCACAAGGGCAACCTGATGGAGTGGAGTGCACAAAAGGATTCTCTTTTTGCCACGTGGTGGGGGCCTCTTGGGCTGGTAAATACAAACATCGATCTTTTTGGTTTACATTGTAAATACAATGAACCTTGTTGGGCAGCTGCCAGTGACGCCCCTCTACTATCTACATCTACATGGGAATGGGATATATCGATTATTGGGAGATCAATTCCTGTGTTGAGTCACCTAGGCGCGGTCAAAATTAAAGGATACATCAGATGGTTGTTGTCAATATCAGGCGCAACGCTGCGAAACTTGAGCTCATGTGGATACAGCTAGCAAGTACAAATGTACAATACTTGAGCCGAATTGATCTTCTATTCTATTCTAGCCAAAAGATGATGATATTATCCTCCATTCTCCATCCCTACTCATTTCATTTTACGGGTTACAGCTTTCTTGCTGGTACCCAAGGCAATGTTGTGGGACTTTAGATAGAGCTTGACCTACTGCATTGACTTGATCCCACTGAACCGAGATAAGTATGAGGGTTTGTAATTAAGATGGAGAAGACTACTTTTGTTTTCTTTCTTTGATTCATTTGGAAGTTTGGAGTGGATATGATTGACAGAGTATTACTATTGCAGCATTAGTTCTGATTCCATCGACACCAGTGTTGGAATTTCTTTTTTTTTTTTGCTTCATAGGGCTACACAACAGGGGTAGCCCATCCCCTTTCCCTTAACCTCACCCCCTGGTGGCAGCGGAATTTGATCCCAGGTCTCTACTCCGACGAGTCAGAGAACCTACCAACTGACACCAGTGTCGGAATTACTACCAAGCCAACCCATACTGCTTTCAGATTTTCAAATGGAAAGCAATAAACTCGATATCATGTTTCCATTAAAGAAATTAAAATTATTAAAGGGAACAGAAACAGTTTCGTGAATATGATAATTAATTAATTCGCCAAAACCCAGTATCCATTTTCCAAATTCCTTTGCTATACGTCTGAATACACTTTATAAACCAAGGGGAGTGAGATAAAAATAGAGACAATAACAAAATGGAAGAAGAATATAATAGAAGGAAAGGAATTTTCATCCAAAGCGAAATCTCAACATTTGATTTTCTCCTCCTTCACCGCAATGGAATTCTTGCAGTGGGTAATTGCAGCTTGGATTGCATTCTGCAGCTCTTCCATGGTGCTATCGCTTGTGGAAGAATAAAAAGTTGGTTTAGCAACAAGATGGCCGCTGTTGGTTGGAGACGTCCACATTGACGCCGGTGCTGAGAATTCTCTTCTTCCTCGCCACTCCGGCTTCCCTCTCGAAGTTAAATTACCTGAAAACGAGTAAGCCTGCCCACACACTTGGCGGTTATCCCTCCCTCCTCCTCTGAAGAACAAGAGTGGTCGAACCATTCTTACGTACCTCTTTAACATATGGCTCACTTCAAATCTCAGCTTCCTCTTCTTCTCCTCGTCTTTATCCTCCTTTTCTCCAACCTCACACCCTTTTCGCCATTTAGCGAGTCCAAACAAGGAGAAAGACTTGGGCTTGCTTCTCACTTTTGGCACACTAGTACCACCATGGCTCTTGTTGTTGTTGTTGTCATTGCTGTTGCTCTTATTGACAGTGTTATGGCCATTGATGTCATTATTGCTGCTTTTGCTGTTGATGCTGTTGTTGGATTTTCCATCTTCTGACAAATCTCTGATGGGAGGATTGTAACCGTCTGCGGAATTGGTGGAGGAGCGGGGAGAGATGGGAAAGTGAGACAGAAGGTGGAGAGGCAGGAGGTGTCCGTGGAAGAAAATGTCGTCGGCTGGAGACAGGTCGATTGCGAACGAAGGTGTGGATTTGGTTTTATCTGCAAGTACTGTTGACGAGGGATGGAGAGAGATTGTGAAGGAGAATTCATGAGAAGGAGAGGAAGAAGCTGAAGGAGGAGAAAAAATGGGGGTGGATTCTTTCTGCCTTGTAGATTGGCCTTCTTTTATTCCGTCTGTTCCTCTTCCTCCTCCTCCCTTGTCTGCAACTTTCTCTGTATTCTCTTGATGCTGTTCGGTGGCCATAGCTCAACAGTATTTTTTTTTTTTTTTTGGAGAGTATATTTGATCCAATATTGGGACTCTCTCCTTCCTAGTTTTTGATATTAGCAAGCATTTGGCCGGCCAGGGATAAAAAGGAGGTTAGGAAACAGCGAAGGATGCTTCTGTTTCTGTGCGTGAGAGAGAGAGGGGGGGGGGGGGACCCAACTTAAAAGGAGAAAGAACAAAACCTCATTCAAAAGGTGAATATCAAACTAAAATTAAGCTTAGAAGTTAGGAATAATGTCTGTGGAATGCAACAAATTCTATTTAATCTTCTCTAGCATGCTTTATTATCATGGCTAATAGTGATGATGAGATTGCACAAGTAGGTCCTTGGCTAAATTTCACAGATTTAATTGGGTATAATGGTTGACACAGTTGAAATGGGGACAAATTGGTTTTACTAAATCCAAGCTGCTTAATTAACTAAAGAGATCCTAAGTAGGCAATAATTACAAACTAATTTTTATTTTTTTCTAAGTAGAATTCTATGTATTTGAATTGTGAATGGCTCCACCTCCACCAGAAACTTAGCTCTCAATACACAAACGTGTATACAAGCACATATATAAGAAAAGAATTTTTCGGAGATGGACATATATTATATATACCCCCTATTGATGTTTTCTATCTGCATGGAAGTCTCCTGTGAGGAAGATATTTAGCATGTATGTGTGCATAATTAATTAGCCTGTACGCATGCATGCATGTATGTATGTTAAGGACATGCCAGCCAAGGTTTAGTAGTTGGTGATGTCAGTCCGAGTACAAAAAGATAAGGTTTCAAGCTAAGATGCTTCAACAATGTAACACACGCCTTCTACCTTCTAGAGAGATCACCAGCTTTTCTCTCTCTCTCTCTCTCTCTCAACCCAATATGTTACTGTGTGCTGTGTAGAGCAGGATTAATAATAGTGCAACAAAGGAGTTCATGCAGACAGGGAAGTGGGACAGCATGGACTGGTTAGGAACGAACTGAGGCCCATCAACCAAAAGCCCATCCAATCTGGACCGGACGATTATGTAGACAGCAGAAACACGTTACAACTGTTTAGGTTGTAAGTCGCTGGCGGTCCACCCAGCACGGTCGAGGTCAACATCTCAATCATCCATGTATTATTTGGTGGGCAGGCTCTGTTTTTTTTTTTTTTTTTTTTTCTTTGATGATAATGCCAATAGCCACTTAAAATCATATCTCTATTTATATATTTATCACCGTACCATAATATATAAAAATAAAATGATAGAAAGCAACTGAGTAGCAAGCAAACATGGCATAAAACAAGACTTCGCCCTCATCAAGCCAAATAAAAAGGACTTCTCATCCAATACCCCGCAAATCTTTTTTTCTACCAAAACTCCTCCACTCCTTTTTCTCCACTAACCAATGAAAAATTTATTCTACCTTCGAATTAAAGAGATGGTATCCTCCCTACAAAGCCAAACCAAGAAAACAAAACAAAACAAGAATACAATCATATCTCTCTCCTTCTTTATGTGTTCTTTATGTGTGTATGTTTATGAATACCTAAAATTGACTTCAATACGAGTTGGAACTCTTAGCAGAGTTCCAAGCTTAACTTTTTAAAGTGAGCTGCCTGCTTATTCATAAAGTAGCATTAGTTTCTTATATCTTAAAAGATTCAAATAGAATATATATACATTTCTAACTTAAAGCTTGAGTTGCTTAAAAGAGAGGTTTACTAATGGGTCAAGTAGGGAGGTTTGCTAATGGATTGGACACATGGTTTAATTTCAAAAAATTCCATGTATGCCATATGGCCCACCTTGTTTTGTGTTTTTTATTTTTAACTTTAATATAAAATTTACCTATAAATGTGGGTGTTTTTTGCATAGGTGGCAAAGTAATTTGGATTGAGCCTTTTTTTCTCCCATGAATTGAGGGTGGGAGAGGATATAAACAATTGAGACTTTAGATTGCTTAGTCATTTAGGCTATGTTTGGTTTGAAGGAAAAAAAAAAAAAAAAAAAAAAAAAAAAGAAAAAGACAGAAAAACCAATACAAAATTTGTAAAGGTTTCCTTACATTTTCCTTCAAATCAAACATAATCTTAGAGAAACTCACTAAACAATTGAGACCAGCAGCACTTCCCATGCAAAACAACTTTTTATTTGAAACTCCAATTTATTTCTATTCAAACTCAAGACTCAAATTAATCAAACTGATATGTCGGTGGACAATACCGATTGGTCGCTCATGGGTCCTCCGCTCTTCTTTCTTGAGCTACAACAGACCAGATGTATTAAAATTTGATTTTGAGGTAGAAGATTGTTTCAGATCTGGACAATGACACATGGGCCTGGCTGTCTTTTACCAAGTATAACTATATGGTACAGCTCTTTAGATGGCTCCCTCTCGCATCAATTCACTTGTCACCACACATGCATGATACATACATTCCTTTTGCACCTCTCTAATACACTAGAATCCCCAACAAGTAATATTTTATAAATACACGAATCCTATAATTAATATTATCTAATATCTTCTAACTAATTTTTAAGAATTTTTTATATATCATTAGATATTATGATGTATTATTTTATATATTTATTCTATTACATAAAATATTAGATAGTTCTTCACGCTCTGTTTCTTTGTGTGCAAAACTGAATCAGATACAAATTTTACACCTGATTCAGTTTTGTATTTTTTTGTTCTTAGCTATGATTTGCACTCCTACACAATATAAAATTCATATAGATGTGTCTCATTTTTACTCAATGGCAGTGCAAATTTTGCATCCCAAAAACTAGTGTAAAATTTGCACTACATTTCTCTTATCGCAATTCTCTCTCATATAAAGTGGGGACAACATCATTGTGCTTCCTACTTTACCCCTAAACAAATAAGCATCCTCTTCCCTCCATTCTCTCTCATATAAAGTACGAATTACTTTGTTTTACTTCCCATAAACAAATAAGGCAAAGTCAAATCTAAAGCAAAAGTAAACCAGAACTTACACCCAGCCGATTAATTTGTAGTTCCAACATTTATATGCAAAAACTGAGTCTTAGAAACATCATTTTGGTTCTTCTTTATATAATAAAAAACATATTAACAATTGTTTTTTATTAAAAATAAAAGAAGATGAAGAGACCAAACATTTTTTCTACATACTTTACCATCTCCTTTCAAAAGAATACAAGAAGAGGAACCAAAAAAAAAAAATCTATTTTATAGATTCAGCAGTTGAACCACTATCTCATACCTCTATCCCATTTATTTATTCATCAATTAAATTGATTCTTTGCTGCTACTAATTTATATTATTATATGGATAGTGATTAATTCTAACAATTTATTCATCAACCAAACACTCCTGGCAGTGGCAGATAGATAAGGGCATAGATAATCAACTTTGACTCAAATATCAGAATCTGGTTTGAACCTTCAGTTACAGTATTATCAAGGAGAAAACCTGATTTTGAGAATTATCTTCCAACCATGTCCGTGTCCCTGCTATTATCTTATTCAGTCATAATGTCACATGCTCTGCTCAATCCTCTCTGCATCGAAATTCATCAGGTACCAGAAGTATTCTCCATTCTCCCTCGAATTGGGCCTTAAGAAAAAATCTAGGCCCAAACTGTAAATTTGTAGGTTGGGATAGAATTAAGCGAGAATGACAATTCAGCCCAAGGTCAGAATTTTTAGGCCCAAAGTACAATTGGGATAGGTGCCATCTCAGAATTGATGTCAATTTACGGGCTGGCATTGGTGTATAAAATGGGGGTATTTGGCATTTTGAATGTTTATAAATCTGTAGTGGAATTTAGAAATCTACAATGGACATGTCTGTACTTTTCCATAGAATAATCACTCCTACTTCTGAGAAGGCATGCATCTGGAAAGGTTGTTTTTTTTTTTTTTCTTGGAAAAAAAGATGTATGATGTGTTTTTGTGAAAAATAAAGGTATCCCTAAAAGAATCATGATTCTTTAATATCACATCAAATAAAATGATAAAAAGAGACATCAGCCATCTTCTTTTAGTTAACAGCGATTCATGCAACATGTAAGTATGGACCTCTTTGTAGGCTTTATTTTCTATGTTTATTCAAAAAGAGGACCATTGTGCCTTAAATCTCCGGTGCAAAAACATTGGAATGGCAATTTCAAGTGATAAACTGGGATATGCCTTAGAAATGCATGAATACAATGGATTAAGATGTATATGCAGTACATTAGGTAAATTTAAATAATTTATACATATATATATATATATTGACACAACATTTGAGGCTCAACTGACTATAAACACTTGAGAAAAAACACATTATAATGGACTGTGTGATCTATAAATTGTGAGGAAAAACTTAGAAAACATTGAAAAATAGTAGAAGAATTAAATATGATGATGATGATGATTATCCGAATACCTTGGCAGATAACCACATCCCGACAACCACGGAAGCCTCACCCAAATAGGACATGGATCTTCAACTATAAATAGGTGATCCCCAACTCAAGGTAAGAGACTTTTGACTCTTCAGACTATACCGTTGTTCTGCTTCTGCTTGAACCAGCACTATTCTCAACTGCTTGGCTCGACCACCCATCTCTCACATCATTGACTTCAGCATCAGAGTGCTTACTCGGGGAACAACTCCTCGGGCCTCTGATCTCTTTCTTGGTTTCAGTTCTTGCTGCGTGACTTCGTCCTTCCACCTCAGCTTCGCCAGTTGATAGGACTATCCCCCCAGCCGGGACCGACTATGACCTCAGGGAGATACACGAAGGTATCTACAGAGATCATCCCAACACCCAAACCTTGGATCACAAGGCACTTCGGCAAGGTTACTTTTGGCCCACCATGAAGCAAGATGTAGCTCAGCTCATCAAGAAGTGTGACCATTGTCAGAGGCACTCCAACTCCACCATCAGCCAGCAACTTCTCTAACGCACATCACAAGTCTGTGGCCCTTTGTCCAATGGGGAATGAACATCCTCGAACCTTT